TCGTACATGTGCCATGGAGGCGAGCATGGCGCTTGGGAGGCCGAGCAGTTCAAATTTTGATCAGCAGTACAGGACCCGGGTTTTCTGTATGGAAGCTCAAGCAGGTGGTGCCGATATTCCGGCAAAAGTTTGGCATGCTTCGTTGGGGGCCGGATCCACAAGAATGCATTTGCTGCAATGGTCCCAAATGGTATACAACACTCTTGGTGGCGGACGCAGCTCAAATGTATGAACAGGTTGACAGTCGTCTTGTTTTGGATGCTTTTGACGCAAAAGCAGCATTGTTGTTGCAGTTGCAGGAAAAAGATACCATCACAGTCAGACGACAGTTTCCAGTGCGCGGCTGGCCCGGAGGTTCGATACACACCCGCTCCCGGAACTTCATCGTTTTTTCTGTTGCCCAGCTTCGACGGATGCTTCAGGCCAGTTGTATGCTGAGATTTGCCAGCATAGGGAATCTGGTTGTGAAGGCTCGGGGCTTGGTTATAGGCGGGTTACTCAGCATGATTTCAGCAGTGTGCTTGCTCAGTTTTGAGGAGGAGCAATTTTTGCAAGGTGGTTGGACCAGAGTTTGGCAGGTGCCGCCACAATGGGAGATCCATGAGCTCTTTTTCGGTTTGCGGTATGTTGACGACTTGCTCCTAGTCAGCGGTAGTCTTTGCCATCAATGTTTGAGGACCGGTTTATGCAGCATGTTTTCTGTTCATTTTGATATCAACCCGGAGGAAGCTGAGCAAACTTGGACGGATCTTGTGTTTAGCGTTGACCCCATGACGCGAGGAGTATCCTGGACGGCCAAAAATCCCAACCGGCTCTGGGTGCAAGGAAAAGGGGACAAGAAGAAGGAAAGGTATGTGCCATTTTTGGGAAGGTTGCAGTGCCCATTTGGAATGCTCCGATGTTTATTACTTGGTCGATTAGCTCGTTTGCGGGAATTGGAATTGCCGGCTGAGTCGCAGTTGGTTTTGCTGTTTGAAGAAATCCAGGAGCTGATTTTGGAAGGATATCCGATAAGTATTTTAAGAGCTGTCATTCATTCGCTGCCTTTGCATACCTGTCGCCTTTTAAGCCTACGTAGGGCCATCCGAGTGTTAGATAATAAGCGGCGCGTGAGACGACAAACCAATGCTTGATAAGATAATGACTTGTTGTCCCATACATGGCTCAGTATTGTTCAGCTTTAGGTTTTTTTTGTTTTGTTGATGCTTTTACTACTTTTGACTTATGTATTCGGTTTTAGTTTCATCATTGCTGCTAGGATGGGTTTCGCAGGAGATATGGGTTTGTTTTATGTCCAATGGTAGGAACATGTTTGTCTCTGTTGTCTTTTAGGTTTGACTTTAATTATGACAAGTTTTGGTGCGCCGCATCTCCATGAAACCCAGTGGATGCCCTTGTTGGGATTTGCAGAAGCCCGACTTGTCGGCAGAGTGCATGTGCTTTGGCTTGGTTTTTCATTGGACACGGTTGATGTAGTGCAGCCTTGCCGCCAGATTTTGGCTTTACCCCGTAGCTGTTCGGTGTCTCTCCATACCCGGAGCACATGAGGCCAGCCCTGAAAGCGTTGTTCTTCCTGTGCCTCTTTGTAGAGGTATGGGTTGTGCATGCTGGGGGGCGCGGTCAGCCGACAAAGGGCCATGGCCGGAAGCATGAGAGCTTTGGCAGGGATTCCCGACATTCCTATTTTTACTATGACCATGATCGCCACCGTGAACGGCGGGAATCGTCTCACTCACGCCGCCGGCGCCGCCGAAAGTCCAGATCAGAATCCCGGACTCCTGACAAACGTAAGTCTTCTGACAAGCTGCCGAAAAATTCACCAGGTTATGAAGAGTACAAGAGGCAGAAGCAAGAAGCAGCAGCTTGGCAGGAGCGTCGTTTGCAGGCAGAAGCGCTTGCAATGTGTTTGGAAGAACGGGAGCAGCTCAAGCAAGCTGCAGTGGCTGCGGGCGTGCCAAAGGCACCGCCGGGCCAGACTGGGCATGACACGTCAACTGCGCAAGGTAGCGCCGTCCCAAAGCTGCCCAGCAAGCACACAACACAAGTCCAAGACCCCCCTAAGGAAAGTAGCCTTGCAGATGTTAAGATCCCTGTTGTTTCGCTTAAATTGCTGGAGGCAGAATTGGGCCACGCTGTTGATTTGGGACAGTCACCATTGTCAGCTAAATCCCTTGAAGCCCTAATTGTCCAGCCGAAGCGAGGGCTTGGCAAGAAGCTTGACCAATTCATAAGCCGGTATGGGAAAGACGCGCCACCAGCAAGGGTGGCAGCCAAGGCTAAGATGGTAGCTGCGATTTTGGGAAACCTTCAATTCTGAAACTGGAAAATCCTACTTGGGGTTTGGTTTGTTGGTTTTTTCTGTGGGATGATGTTTTGTTTGTGGAAACCTGTGACGTCAATCCCCCTTCCAGTTCATTGGTCGCGTAGTTTGGAGGTTTTCCAGGCGTGGTATACCATTCACATTTCCCATTATGATGTGGCTTGGTATTGGGAATCGCTTTCAGGGATCCCAGTTGTAGCTCCTGGAGCCACGGTGATGTTTGCAGGTTTTTTGAAGAAGATGTTGCGCACGCATATTTTGGATGTGGCATAATTAGAAGCTTTTCCCGGCGAATGATGGCAGATACCAGTAGCCGTTCAGTTTGGTTTTCGATGATCGGTTTTGTGATGAACATGATCTCAGAAGCAGCCGATGGCAGATTATGTGAAGCACATGATCACAGGAACTTTTCACAGCAGATTACGTTAAGAATATGATCACCGACATTTCTTGAGATTCCATTGGCTTCAGGGTATTTGCCGGAGAGCCGAAGTTTCAGCAGCCACTTACGGCCCAGGGTTTAGGACGTCGCTCAAGGCCCTTGGGGCCGCACATGCATGGATCCTGGTGCGAAAAAGCTTGACTTTCAGTGTGTAAAAGCGTCTGTGTGTAAAAGCGTCTGTGTGTAAAAGCGTCTGTGTGTAAAAGACTGTGTGCAAAAGCGTCTGTGTGTAAAAGCGTCTGTGCGTCAAAGCGTCTGTGTGTAAAAGCGTCTGTGTGTAAAAGCGTCTGTGTGTAAAAGTGTTTGTGTGTAAAAGTCTCTGTGTGTAAAAGCCTCTGTGTGTAAAAGCGTCTGTGTGTAAAAGCGTCTGTGTGTAAAAGTCTCTGTGTGTAAAAGTCTCTGTGTGTAAAAGTCTCTGTGTGCAAAAGCGTCTGTCTGTAAAAAGTTCTGTGTATGAACAACTTTACAAAACGATGCAAACTATTGTCTTGTACTAGTCATATATTGTCTTGATACTACTCTTCTCGTCTGCCTATAATACATCTTTAATATATTATCTTGTAATATAGTGTCTCCATACTAACAACAGAAGACTCTGCTCCTCTACGCTCTCGGGCCATCCGTCGTCTAGTTCTTGTTGGTCAATCCAAAATCTTGGGTAATGCGGTATAACCATAGTTTCAAATCCGGTAAGCTAGGATGGAAGCCGTTACGGAAAGTGGTTGGAACGCACTCCCAAGATCTCGTGGTTTGATGTAGGACAGAGGGTTCTCATCAGATAGGGATGGGACCTGGAAATGTCCCACTGAGAAGCACGTTCCTTTTGGCTGGAGCATTTTGCAACGCAAATTCTGCGAGTCGATTCCGAGCTCTTGATATGGCACTCCTAAAGTCTTTGGTTGTCCTTTCTGCTTGGAGCCTTGTTGAGGGATTGGCCCCAGGAGATTGTGCCTTCGTTGGGATTTATAGCGACGATGATGACTTTGCCCTGGTGCTGATGGAAGATGTCGATGGTGAGAGCATCTCTTTGACTGAGGGATCTCCTGCTGATGCCGACTTGCACATTGACCACTGGGCTGCTGCCAAGCACTACGTGAGTGACTCCAAGAAGGGATCGGTTTTGAAAAGGTCGGACTTCCAGACAGACTCTGCATCCTTCTTGGCACCTATGGCCCTCAGCGCCTTCAAGGGAAGTGCTGAGTCTCCAACAGTGCTGTGCAGCATAATTTTGGAGTCTCGACCAGTGGCTCGCAAATTGCAGAGCGTGGTGATGCTAAGCTCCATGGAAACTGCTGAGTATTCAGGACCAACCAGCGGCAGCAAGATGGAGTTGTTGGAGGAAATCTCCAAGTCAACCAACTGGCTCCAGTCACAGCGTCGCTTGACGGACTTCAGCATCGCTTCGGGCAACGCCACCACCGTGACCGTCACCACCACGGTGACGGAGAGCACGGAGAGCACGGAGAGCACCGAGACCGAAAGCAGCACCGAGGAAAGCAACGAGGAAAATGGCGCTGCTGGCGCCGGCAGCATGGTCCTTGGAGCCTTTATGGTGTTGGCTGCCATGGCATAGGCACTGGAACGCTACTGACCACTCCTGGTGCCATCTATGCATGTATTCAAGGTACTTGTCGCACCACGCAATTAAATGTTTTTTTTCCACGGCAGAAAGCTGGAAAACTATGCTTTGCCACTTTTGCGATTTTTTTTTGGTTATTCCCCAGAACGGTTTGCTGTCTCGCTTGGAGGCACTTAGACCATCTTATAAACCCTTTTGCAAAAAACCCTTTTGCAAAATCCTGGAGTGTCTAGAAGAAGTTTCTCCAGATTCTTCCAGCATTTAGGGTGCTGGATTTTTGCTTCGCATGCTGAGCATGTGGCAGACCATCATCATGGACCAGAAGCAGACGAAGTTGGCAGAAAGATTCGTTGTCACTTGCTTCAGCTGAAAAGAAGCATGTTCCTTTGTGAATGAGGAGAATGCGCATGTCAGCATTTTTTGACATTAACATGTCGACAAACTCACACATGTGATGATATGATTTTACCATGAGTGGACGATCCGTCATTCCTGGTTTGAGTACAGAGCACACTTTTCATTCTTTCTCATGTTGTTTATTCATTTCTCAACTTTACCATCATTTCATACCATTTCCGCAAGTTCACACTAACACCCAATGGTTTATCGTCATTTTCCCTTAGAAAAACACGGTGGTGGCCCTGGCAGCCCTGACGAAGGTCATGCGAATCCAAGTTCCTTGGAACGTGCGCAATGCCTCATGGCCCACAACAGGGACTGTGACTGTCGGGTGTCGGGGAAGGCACCAAAACTGGTGCCTTGAAGAAGTAGCATTCTGTTTGGGGTAGATTAAACAGCCATCATTTGTTTTTTTGCTGTACCTCCAGTTATTACTTAAAGATACTTAAAGCATCTTCAAACCATTGAATGATGTTTATTTGGGATGGGTTGAGCAACTTTAAAAACTGTTTTTTGGTCCGTACTACTTGCATCTACCTGCACTCAAATGAAGAATATGTTTGGGGTATATAGGTCAAGACCGCCAACCGTAAAATGACGGATATGTCATGGTATGTGCAAGACACTGTGGACTGTTCAAATTCCAAACATGATATATTTTGGTGAACCAAAGGGGTGTAGATTTTTGAATTTTGATAAAGCAATTAAAATTGGAGATACCTATATGGAGGTTTCCTGAAATAGGGGTACCCAAATCATCCAGCTATTTGTTTGAGATTTTCCGTTATAAACCATCCAGCTATTGGGGTAGCCCCATTTATGACACCAAGGCGAAGCACTCGGGTGATGGGAAACTTGAAACCTGAAAAACCATCTATTCAAAACGGTTAAAACATATTAAGAATAGTGACAATCTATGTTTAATATGGTTTAAACCTATTTAAAAGAATTTAAAACAACTGACACATATTAAAACCATGGTTGTAGTTTTTCTCTTCCCCGGCGGTAGGCAAACATGGCAATTGAACATCCCCTTTATAGCGCGCAGGATGTGGCGTACCGGCAAGGGCGGCGATGGTTGCCAAGGTGCCATAGATTGATTTCCAGTTCTTGGGGGATGGGAATATCCCGATTTAGATGTGGAAACCTGTCAGGGTTTCCCGCAAATTAGTGCTGGGTTTTCCACATCGAACTCTGAGTTTGCTGCAGGGTGATGTTTGGATTCCCATGTCCATAAATTCCTGCATCTACTACAATGTATACCTGGCAAACTAAGATAGCTATGGAACATTATGGAACATCATCACTTTAATCTATAAGTTGGGATTTTTCATAGGTATGTTTACAGGAGGGTAATATAGTTTTGTCATGTTTTGTCCAAAATGGGGTGTACCCCAAAATAGCAACATCAATAGAGACGATGCTGAGAAATCGCTGGATTTGCTCGTGTTTTTTCACTCCTTTGCTGTGTGTTTGCCAGTCCCAATTTTTTTGGTAATAGGGACATGACAATGGGACTACAATTAATTCAGGCTGGGGCAAGTTGACAACAACAATTGGGATATTTACGAGCCATCATTTGCAATGATTTATACAGGCGTATGGCGACGTCACCCCAACCAAAACATGAAATTATCCGATGGTACCCTCTGGTAATCTAACATAACTATGGAAAGATCCACCATTTTTAATGGGTAAATCCACTATTTCTATGGCCATGTTCAATAGCTATGTGAGTTTATCACGTTCGATGCGTCAAAATGTCACATTTGATGTATGTCCTTGGATTGGAGGGTGGGTCCTTTGGCCATTGTTGGATAGGTCCATAATCCCAATGACTGAAGCCCAGATTTTGAACAACCCCCAATTGAACTAAGTTAAGGCAGTTAACGCAGTTAACATCAGTGAACATCAGTTAACTCAGTTAACCATCAAGTGCACTTAAATATTGATGGTTTCTTCGCCACAGCCAACCATCCGTAACCATCCTATGCGCCCCGGCAGAGGTTGGATTTGAGTCCCAACATGCCTATTTATTCGGGTCGCGTTGAGAGCTCAGCTACACAGCATGGTGGTTGGAGTGTTGAAGCAGATTGAAATCAAAATGGAAAGCAACATCTTCAGGTCTGGTTCCAAAATTGCATCATGATACATCTATAATTTAAACCGTTGAACATATTGACACCAATACATGTATCATCTTTGAATCTATTGGGATCCAATAAATATGGAACTCTCAGTTTCCCGGGCCCCAATTTTGACCGTTGAGGTGGTTCCCACACTTCCACCCCATGTCACCGGAACTGGAGTGGCATTGATTACAGGTGCCGCAGCAGGGCTTTGGTCCTTTGGGGTTGGACACCGGGGGATCCCCAAGATCCATGGCCATTTGAAGAGGAACCATAGCCATGACGGATCCGGCTACGGTGCTGCTTTTTTTTTTGTGCCAATGTGTGCCATGGATTTACCTTCAACAAAAAACCCCAGTCATGTTCGCATAAAAAAAAACGCAGCACATCAATTTCATCAATGGATCCGGAAAATGGGATCCGTCATGGGATATGGAAAGATGAACCGATGAAGCCTGAATCGAAAGGTGTCTAAAGAATCCACCATTTATAGATGAGTTTCCCCAGAAATTTCCAGCAAGGTTTGATTACAGGATGGGTAGCCCCGAATTACTATCTATAAAAATCATGCATCCTATCATGGAATCCCCCAAAAAAAATCCCATGATCTTCCCATTCGAACACCATACTTTGACCCCCATGCTACGTTTTGTTACCAGTAGACAAGTCGTGAAAAGAAGTGCTAGGCCGTGACCTTGGGCCTTGGTTGGACCTTCGAAACATTTAATTCATTTTAGTTCATTGCCATAGCCATGGATGGTGATATGGCCACAATATGTTTGTTGTTGGACACATTCCAAACTTTAGGGAGAAGATATTATATATATCTATATAATGTTGAATTATATTGATATCATGATGGATATTTCGCCCCTTCACATGTGGCACCCTTTTGATTGGCCATCTAGACCTTTGATGCCCCTCCAGCAATCGGGCCTGGCACTGTGGAATTTCAGTCTTCAACAGGCCAGCAATAAACATGTTGTCGGTTTCTGTCATTATCTTCCACTTGATATTTGAACATTGATCCAATGCAGTGAAAACATGTGAAAACATGTGAAAACATGTGAAAACATGTGAAAACATGTGAAAACATGTGAAAACATGTGAAAACATGTGAAAACAACGAAATCAAAATCATTCTACCAGCATTTTCCCACCATTTCCCCGCCATTTTCTTATCCTTTTCCCACCATGGCAGGTGGTGTTGGCGGCCTCGGCTTGGCGGCGGCCGAAGCATTGGTGCCGATCGGTGGTCGGGATTTTTGGGTTTTTTTCGAAGGGAAAAGAACGGCGATGATTTCAAGAACGGCAGAACATGATGGATTTATGATGAATGATCCATGATTATGATGATTTATGATGGATTTATGATGATTTATGATGATTTATGATGATTGATCACGAATTTCAATGGAAAAATCACAAACAATGTTCCGTTTTCCAGAGAGGGATTTCAAGGAAAGCCAGATTTTTCAGCACTTGTCGAGTTTGAGATGATTCCAAAAAGTGCAGCTTCGCAGTGTCGACAGGTGGAGCTAGGAATGAAACGCTTGGTGTTGAGCTCCAAGAATGGCAATCTGCCTGATGAGCAGGGCGTGGCACAGCGAGTGCAGGCTGCGGTTGCGGCGTTGATTTTGAAACAGCCGTTTTTAACGGATGTTTCAAGGATCAAATTGGGTGATAGTTGGCCCAAATTTCAACATGTCTGGTTGAAATGATCTGGATATATCTGGATGATCTCCCCATGGTGAGATCGCGTTTGCGTCTCACCATGTTTGTTTCATGATGTTTATCCCGAAAAAATGGTTGATATGCATTGGTTTACCGCTGTTCTTTGATGTTCATGCCATGATATCACCATATCTAGATTATTTTCCATAAACATATTAAATATTATAAATCCTTTCTAAAGCCATTAAAAGCCATCCACTATAATAATCCCAATATAAAACCCAAACAAACCTATATCATATAGCATCCCTACCTCTTAAAAATGGAATTTGAGGGGGGGGGAGTCATACTGAAATTTCATTTTAAAATTCCATTTTTGCCATCATGCTTTCTCAATGATCAATATTTCTCATCATTCCATGTCATTGGCAAGCAGATGAAAATCAAATACTTGCGCTTAGCTCCGGAGGAGCCAAGCACATATCAGACTGAAGCAGCACATGTGTAGGGATGGCATCCCTCCAAAAATTGCGCTGCCGTCATCATACTTGCGCTTAGCTCCGGAGGAGCTAAGCACAAGTATTTTCTAACCAGTGCCCAAGGCTTGTTGAGAAATGTTACTTTACAATTCCATTTGAGGGGTTGGATCACTATCCCAGGGTTTCCAAGCAAAAAAAAGTGGAATTCGACAGGTTGGTTTTGTCCCCCCCCGCCCTCCCCCTCTAGAGGGGTAGGGATCATATAGCTGTTGATGCTACTTGTATTGGTTTGTAATGGCAGGCCATTTATAGCTGGGTGAACAGACCTATATCATTATGGCCATGACAAGACCCATAGCAAGCCATATGGCTATTAGTCACTTCACCCAGTACCGCCATGATAAGCTCATGATCCATGATAAACATTGATAAACTATAAACTCTAGAAACCCAATATAAACATCATAGATAAACTATAAACTCTAGAAACATCTAAAAACCCAATATAAACATCATATCTAAACCCAGAACGGAGGAAATCCTGCACCAGCTTGGATGGTTCGAGGCGATGAAGTCCTTGGGCGCCCAGCTCTGGATCGAAGCCTGTGACGTGGCAAAGGAGTTGGGGGATCTCAGAGGGTTTTCGCCACGTTTTTTTCGGCGTGCGAACTGGAACTGCACCAGAAACCAGGGGGAAACCAGGGGGATTTGGGTTGGAGTTCACCACGAAAAAATGGGCGATTTCACTGATGCAACGGTTTTGATGCTGAAAAACCACGAGAAAATTGAAGCAACCTTATGTTGTTAATGTGGACATGCGGATGACAAAGGATCCAAAGGATCCAAATTTTTTGGGATAGAAACACACCCACCATTAGGAATTGGGATTCAGCTGATTTAATCGTAACAAACGGTGCGTTTTGTTCTGAAGAGACTTGCGTGTTCAGCCAAGAATGTGTCCTTTTACCAACAAGTGATGTGGATTTGACCACCGAGAATTGGGATGTAAATTTTATATACCCTTTGGTTATTTTGCGTAGCTATGGAAAAAACGGCCCATTTATAGATGATCAAAATGAGGATTTACCATGATTCACCTATTAAAAAATGGTGATTTCCCATAGCTACGTTAAATAACCAGATGGTAATTTTATTTAATCACCAATACTCCGGGCTTAGGATTCGGGGATGATGGGTAGCATGTTTTAATTTGCCCGCACATCTGAGATTGTGGGGAATGAAGATCCATGACTATACCAGCTTTGATAAAAATGCCATCATGGTTTTGGGATGATCTGCGGATGAACATAGGATGATAATATCCTGGTTGTTGGTTTGGAACATTTTTTATTTTTCCATATATTGGGAATAATCCTCCCAACTGACTAATATTTTTCAGAGGGGTTGAAACCACCTACCAGATCATATCTAAGATTACTGTATGGGGTTTCACAGTGTTTCATAGGGGATGGTATCGATAGTGGATCATGCGTGGCGATACACTGTAATTAATGTGCTGTGTATATTGTGAATTATGCATAGATGATTCTGAGCCATGACCGCACATGATTGGCTTATATCAGTTTATATTTCGTGTTTCTTAATGGACCTGCTACAATTATTGGACTGTTCACAGTTTAGCCAACAAATCATAGGCTATAGGCTATATGCTATAGGCCTATAGCTGTTAATTTCAACAACAATTGTTGCTTTAAAACTCACAATGCGTGGACCTGACATATATGGTAAAACATAGTTCCATCAACAGAATCAACCATTCGGATGCCAGGTCGGACGTGCGAGAACTGCTGGAAAGTTTGGCAACTCAGGGGGAATGTTGGAGGCACCAGAAAACTTGGGAAGCCAACCAAGTTTGGGAGACCAAATTCAAATTGCATGCAGCATGCATATATGTAAAATATTGTAAAATATGTTTCAGGAATCTTGTACAAAAAGACCCACACATGGTCCCCAAATATTGCGCACGGTCTCGCATGCACAGGGCCGGCTAAGCGCAGGCACCGTGTGTCCAAATGTCCAAAGCGAAACAGCTCGCCTCCATTGTGGAGACACCTCAAAATCTATACACTGAAAGGCCGTGAGAAGCCCTGTGCATTTCGGATCGGACGATCTCCAACAAATTTTGCCAAACTTGCCAGGGCTGCTTCACCTGTAACGTGTTGCAGGCCAAACTGTACACATCTCTGTGGCATGTAGATCCCGATCGAATGCAGGTGGCCGCTAGTGGAATAAACCACTCCAGCACTTTGTCTAAGGAAGTGAGTGAGCACCTGTTTGAAGTACCTGAACTCAGAAGCTAAGGTAGGAACCGAATACTTACTACAAAACCCAACAAGAGGCCCCCCAAAAACAACCCTAATAGAAACAAAGATTTCGAGGTAACTCACTAACCGTTTTGTGGAAGCAGTCTGATCCTGCTCCACCACCCAGTTGAACAAAATGTTACTAAGGGTGCGAAAATGGTGATCATGTTGATCAGTAAAATGATAAGCACTGTCCTTCAGATGCATGAACTGCACATGGAAACTGGCATCGTTGGGACTAGTCTCTATACAACTGGAAAAAGGTGAAACTTCATCTTCCCAGAGATCCGTTTGGTCTTGCTCCGGGGCTTTTTCGCAGTCTCTGGCCGCCACTTCCAAATGAAAGGCAATCAACAAACGAACCCTCCTCTTCCAAACCTCACGAAAACCAACATACCTACCCCAAACACTGTCGAAAAACCGTGGTCGGCTTTTGTTGGCCAATTTGGCCTGGAGATCTGCTTGGTCATTCCAGTAAATTGCAAAATCCTCAACTGGCCCAATGCTATCTGCGTCATCTTGGTGACTGGCAACTTTATGCACAAAGATTTGAGCTACGGAGTGGGCTACAAGTGAACCTATTCGTGTCCACAGGTCCACATGTTCAAAATCTGTCGGACGTGCCGTGCCGGTGATCAAACACCTCAGATGATCCACTACAGTTTGGTTGTCAACCCACAAATGCAAATCACCAGAGTAAGGCGCAGCCCACCGCAAGGCACTGATCACTGCATAGATTTCCGCACGCAAGATGGTTTGTTGTGGTCCGGGAAGTGGTCCCGCACTTACAGCTCCATGATGAGCAATGACAACAGACCAAGCTGCCAAAGCTTCCTCCGGTGACGAAGATGGATCGCAAGAGCCATCAGTAAAAGCATGCCACACTTGTCCCTTTGGCATGAACTGAAAATCATCTGTCAAGTCTGGCAAACTCGACAGGGCCTCCAGTGCTAAAATCTTCCATGGATTTCGTGGTACTAGCCCAAAGGTCTGGGCACACCGAGGGTATTCGTCCCACTCCTGAAAAAGCACCTGATGTCGGCCTCTGATATCGTCATACTTGGAGCAAGTAGTGTACCTATGCAGTCTGGTGTCAGATTCATGGCACCATGGACAAATTGAACTTTTGCTGGCATCAAATTTGCTGCAAACATCATTCGTGAAAAAGGCGCCATCACGAATGATCATCAATTGTTCGACCTCTGCCACCGTACGGTGACCGTCTGCTGAGATCGTCAAACCCCAGTCAAAACCGTCAAGGTCCTCATAACCCTTTCTCTGCTGAACCTGGCTTGCCACCTGCTGGTGGAAATGAAACAACAGAATGCGTCGAACTAAATCTGCCGAGCTCATCAGCAGATCAATGCACCCCCGCTGTGAAAACCAAATTTTGCAGTTCTCGTCCAAAGAAAGCCCAACTTCATTGAGTTCCGCCTGGACTTTGCCAAACGGGCCATGTGTCTGGGTGTCTTGCAGCTGAGAACAGTAACCCTTCCACCAATCACGCAATGTATCACTCTTGCCACATTGTGAGGTGAAAAGTGAAACCACCTTCCAAAGGGGGACCCCATTTTTTTCTTCGCACCAGTCGCCAGAGATCGAGGAATCCAAGATCGCCATGGACCTTTGCGAATGGTGATCCACGCCTCTGGCGTTCTGGAGGTGCATCGTGGGGGAACGCCCGTGGTGTGTTGGAAAACATGTGAGATACCCAATGTATACAGTATAGCCCTAATATAATTTATGGACCATTGAATGGGAATAATGATGACTACCCATGGTTTTTTTCCCTACTTTTTTAGACCCCGATTTTTGTTGGCATCGCTTTCCCGGGTTGTTGCAGGGTGGATCCCAAGTCGCACCAGTTGCCAGGACAGACCCTTCATGGAACAAGATGCGGAATCCTTCCGCAAGGTCTGAGGGCACAGTTCTCTTTCATGCTTTATGGTTGAATCACAGTAGAATCATCCATAGACATTCCAATCCCTTATTCAACCCCCTTGAAATCAACTATAATTATATATACCAATCAATATGGAGTCAACTTTGCCAACAATCCGACAACCCAAAGGTTTCCCATCCCCATTGGCAGTATTTCCACCAGGGGTCCCGGTATGACGCAACGCGCAGGTCTTTGAACCGAAAGCATCGGGCGCATGGTATTTGCATCGCTTTGCCGGCATGTTTTTTAGCCTTGGCAGTGGAAGAGCCTTAATTAGATTGATGATCGATCCATTTTCAAACCCGAAGCCACAAGATGCCACAAGTCTATTTTTCATTTTTTCCAGCAGCATCCAGCCGCCATGTGGAAAATTCCAGGATTCATCCATTCATGCTGCAGGTCACACCTTAGATGACAAGCTCCAAAACTTCCTCCTCTTCTCCTCCGTGGCGGCCTCCCGGGGCAGTTCCACCCAGGCCATCGGCCGGGGCCAGGGATGTTCCTTCGATGCGTTTGACGAAGGCGAAATGGTGTGCCACGCACTGGGCTCAAAAAGGTCTCAACAAATCCACAGTTCATCATTTATCAGTTATAGAGTTATATGAGTTTTATAGATATCCATTCCATCATCCCAGCGTTATTCATCAACCATCAGACCATCATCCGCAGTGAAAAAAACTGATCTCACCTAGAGATCGATCCCCTCACCGAAAAAGGCGACCAGGTCCCGACCCTCCGGTTACCATGGTCGATGGATGGGCCTATGGGGTGCTGGCGGCTTTCGTTTTTATGGTGCTGTGCGGCTTGGCCATGGAAGATGGTGTCAGACTTAGTTTTTTGAACACCAAGGAAGTGATATGGATATATATATATATATAGATAATCACAATATCATATTGATATACATATATCATCAAATATGATCATACAATCATAATGGGATATGATAGAATTCAGAAATTATGTACATATAATATATATATATACATACATATACATATGGTAAAGTGGGATATATATATATATATAGCCAACAATTTTGATCATGTGGGTTTGTTCAACACTGGAGGATCGGCCAATGATTTTTTGGGGCTGCAAATTTGCAGACCACCATAGACCACCTGTCCACGAATTGGTTATAGCATATGCGGATAAAAGATAACGACATGTCGTTTCGGGAACTGTAGGCTATTCTTGCTGTCACGTTCCTCCATTTAAACCAACCAGTGTAAGCTCTGACGACTTCAAATAGACGCTTTTGAGTGCCTGGTGTACCAGCATCCCATAACAAGGTTTGTTTATTATCCAGGTAATTCACTTATGGAATCTTATGGATAGCTTTTCTCATGAAAGACCTCCATGTACAGATGATTTCCCCACAAAAAACCTCCATTCTGCTTCCGGTTTCCCAGCCGCCGTGAGGTAACGGCTTAGCCTCCGCGGGCTTGTTGGGAGGCAAAACCAACAAGCAAATCTCGGACGAGAATCCCACCTATCTCTCGCCCGACGGGCAGACTTTTGCCATCTGGGGGATCATTTATACCCTGGAACTGGACACTTGGATCAAAGTGATTAAGAGATTACTCTCTGGTTATTTAAATTAATTAGGGAACATGGCCTGTTTATGGATGATTTGTATTTACGGTGATTTACCTATACACAATGGTGATTGTCCATAGCAACGTTAAATCACCAGAGGGTATCAAGGGTTGTTTACCAACTTTTTCCGTCGGTAAAGGATGATTTATCTCTTGGTCCACCGAGTTCACTGGTGTGATTGAACATTGAGAGGGGAAGTCCTCTAAACCCATTGGTATGAACCATTGGTTGCCATTGGTTCATGATCATTGTCCAATTGTCCCTGTTCAATGGCCATTTTATGGCTATACCGTCAGGTTCAGACCCTGGTGTTGAGTTTTAGCATGTTTTAGCTCTATAATTCACTATGATTGTTGGCGGTTTACCCCAAAACAAAACGTCTGCTCCCCGGGCTGCCCGGCTCCCCGGTCCTTTTTCGGGAATCGTTTCAGGCGCCTCTTTTTCGGGAATGTTTATAGTCAACCCCCCAGGTGTCCCCATTGTTTCCACATATGGGTTTGTCTGAAAATAGGGTATCCCAATTATAGCCATTTAATAGGGATAATGATCATTAACCATTGGGTAAAAAGGGGTACACAACATTTTCAGACACACCCATATTGGTAATTCTCAGTTTTTTGCAGTTTCAATCCCCATGTTATATAACTAGTTTTTCCCCATCGCTGGTAGTATCTGGGAAAAAATTCATCAATATCAGATTATCACACCCCGTTCCGGAGATGAGTTATTTTCCAGTACATGAACTCGAAGGGGTCATGATATTGATCACATATATATATACATATAAATGTATAGATATATATATAATGTATATATATATACATACATATAAATGTATAGATATATAATGTATATATATAATGTATATATAATGTATATATATATATATTTATATATATACGATATATATATATAGAATCATACTAACTATCATTACTATCATATAAGTCAATATCTATTGTTGGTTTATGTATATAATACGAACATTTCCATAGTCAAACAATGTTAAACAATGTTGCTAAGCCAAGAATTTCCATGATGACAACGAAATATGTCACTATGGTCCATAGTCATTAAACCTTATGGTTCATCTACCTTCTTTTAGGTCGTCCCGGGCCCCGCTGTTCGCAAAGGTCCTGGTCATTGCCCAACTCTTCCCCAGCGAATCCGCTGAAGCGCTGCTGCAGCGTGAATCGCCGATGGGCCTTGATGTGCGGCAACAGATGGTGCTAGCCTTTGTCATCAACGGTGTTTGGCTACCAGTCTTCAACAATGAAGCTTGGACGTATGTGATGTATTATTATTAATGTATGGTGTAGGATGTAGTTCTATAATGAATTGTTGTTAGATTATGAGACAGTTGTTTACATGAGACCCCACTCGGATGGTGGGCTAAGTCAACAATTTCCCATGGTTTGGGACGACTCCGAGCTTTTTTAGAAGTTGGACAAAGTCAAGGTAACTCTGACCCATGCTATCCCAGCTGTCTGGCTGTTTAGGAATACTTTTGGAGTTCCTGGGTCATCATTGTGGTCTACCTCGGCTTTCTGCTCAGCATCTACACAGATGTGAATACCCAGACAACTGAGGGGCTTCTGGAGTTTCTTGCTGGAAATTGGATTGGTCCAAACATGGCGTCCAAGATTTTAGTGGTTTTCCATGGTTTTCCTGACTCAACCTCTAATTTTTGGCTATATCACATGTCTGGACAACTCCCACTTCTTCGGGATCCTAGGGATGATATCACCAGCAGGAGAAATTAGCAATCATGGTTTGATTGGGTTACCAATGGGTCGGTTTGAGGGAAATTGCGGGTAGTATCCTATAGTCTGTTTTTCCTGAAACCAAATTCTGGGAGGATAATGAGTACATTTTTCCATCATGAGGATATTACGAAGAAAGAACCAGTTGTTTCAGGAGGCAAATGGTTCTGAACCATCACCGTCTTGGTTCTGAAGCGTTATTTGTTAAATTATCATGCTTGCTAATCTCAAACAACTATGATGTCATCCTAAATCAACTACATCACTTCATTGTTAGTGCCTTTGACTGTGTACTTTCATGTCATTTCATGGTCAATACTCATGGTTAATAACCATTAATAGGGGCTAGTCATCCAATGGTTCAGGATGGGATTTATTTCATAACCATTATGTTTGGATCCTTATTGTGGATGGGATGACCATCAACCATATAGTGAGTATTGACCATGGCTCATATCATTTCATGTTGTGTTCTTTTTCTGCCAAGAATTTGACTCGGGAGTCCCGAGTCATCGCTGGTCAGGGTTGAACCCAAAGCTGCCGCCAGGGAGCAACTGACGAAAACCTCATCTGATTTTTCTTCGCCCTTGCCATTAATATCCATGAACATCCATTAGCTAATATGATGTTATGATAACTTATGATAACCTATGATAACTTATGATAACCTATGATAACTTATGATAACTTATGAAGTTTTGTTTGCATGGCCGAACCCCTAATGAAGCCATTGATCGCTGCCAGCAAGGTACCTTTGCTATGCCGCGGGGATCACGCTGAACTGCAGCTGGGTGGTGGTGGCGACCTGCGTCTCCACCTTCCTCAACCTGGGACGAGTCGGATGGAAGGACCAGAACGGTGTGGCGGGCTCCGTCGTGGCCGCCAGCGTGGTGATTGTGCTGGTGACCCGGCCTGGTGTGGATGGATCAAGTGATTCAAGTGGGGACCTGATTTGTGAGTTTCAACCTGCTTGAAATGGCTCTGAACTTTTTGGATGCGACATTTTGGATCTTGCAAGAATCTACAAATGGGTTTGTCTGAAAATAGGGTATATTCCCAATGAAATAGCCATTTAATAGGGATAATGATCAGACAAACCATTGGGTACAATGGGGTACACAACATTTTCAGACACACCCAAATATTGGGTTCCATTGTCCTTTGACGACCACTTTCACGAGGAGACGAGACGAACGAACTGCTTTTTTTTGTGCCGAACTTTGAGATCCCAAGAAATTCAATCATCTCAAATGGTGCAGCTAATCATATGTTTTCTTGGGTTTCCTATAGTTCTTGGACATATCTGTTTTTCATTGTTTTTCCATACCTCCGAGATCGTGATTAGACAATCTACAGAACACCATCATTTAGTGGCCAAACACCAATGTTTTTGGCCAGTTTTCCCTGAAAAAAAGTCCTTCATCCACTAAATCTCCTGCAGATTTTATCCATTTTTATCCCATCAATGGTCCCCATCAGATAGATAGCTTCTGGGTAAATTATAACGACCTCACTGTTCTCCCGAGCCCTGGAATCATGGTTAATTAATAAGGGAAATCATCCCCTTTTATGGCCGCAAGATTCAGGTGAGTGGCATATTATGGCCTTGACCCAGATTGATGGTGCCATTTTGGCTCAAGTATGGCTCGAGTGATGCCTGAACCTGTAGAGGTCGGAAGCTGCTTGAAGTATGATGTAGCTTCAGCACCGCTGGCGCCTCATCGCGGTGATGTTTCAGCGGCGGAGCTGATTTATGGCCATGCTCGCGTCGCTTATGCCACCGCCAACTGGAGGCGAGCAGGTGAAAGGGATCCATCGCTCAAGGAGGATTTTCTCTGGAGGCCTGAGACTGTTTCAAAGCATTCCTCATGGCCGATTGACACTGTCACTGAAACTGCGGAGATGATTGTCAATGACATGTTCTTTCCAGCAGTGAAGTTGTCACCTATTCCTCTGGAGCGGCTTTTGGACCCCAATGATGACAAGACCATGGTTCAGAACACATCAGCGGGCTACTACTATCGTGTTTTACACAAGGAGAAATACCATCCAGGTTTGAAGAGCACTGAGTCGGTGATTGATCACGTGCAGATGAAAACACGTGAATTTTTACA